GGGAAGGGCGAGGAGCCCGGGAGCCCGGCCGCTCCGGCTCCGACCCGGCGGCCTCTCACTGCGCAGGCGCCGGGAGCAGACAATGAAAGGGGCTGTGCAGAGGGTCTCCCGCAGGCTTTCCCGGGTCCTACTGCGCACGCGTGCCTCCAAGACCCGCTGGAACAATGAAGAAGGACCCCAGCCTTAGCGGGCGCCGCAACTCACAGGGACTACAGTTCCCAGCGGGCAGTGCGCCAACTCCGAGGGGAGGTGGGGTTGCTGGGCATGCTTGGATTTGTAGTGTGAGCCGCCTTTCACAATCCAGGCTCTTCGGGAGATGTTTAGAGCCGCTTTCTCCTGAGAATGTATTTGGCCGTTTTTGACAAACGTCGTGAAGAGTGCAGAGTTTGTTATTTGCGTCTTTGAGAAGCTTCAAGGCTCGGATGCTTGCATGCACATGTCGAAGGGTCCAGGCCTTGCTGTCAGTAGGGTGAGGTCCCACAGCAGGATGGGATGAAGGCAGGACTAAGCCAGGAAAAGGGCGGAGCCTCCTAACAGTCCCTTGGCAACCGGATCCGGCCAGCAAACCGTTGCAGCCTGTGTACTCGGGGCGCGGTGCCCTCTGGGAATTGTAGTGTCCTTGGACGGGCTCCCGGGAAAGTCGAGGCTGCAAGCCCGCAGTCTGTGAACCACAAGTCCCGTCATCCACCAGGAGGGCCAGTGGGTGGGAAGGCTGAGACCCTCTGAGTGGGGTTCCAGGCTCCCCGTTGACAGCCGCGGCAGGAAGCAGGCGGGTCCTGCCGGGGCGCCAAGGCCTCCTGTCCTCGGAGAGGGGATCCCTGGACACTGTCCCACCTCACTCCTCTCGCGGGGCCCCGAGTCTGCGCATGGAGAAGTCCCTGGAGAACTCCAACCTGGAGGAGTCTCTGGGGCAATACCAGCGGAGTCTCTGGGGTGAGTTGCCCTGAACCCCGCGCCTTACACCCAGGGGACCAGGGCCTGGTGGGCGGGAGCTGGCCAGGTGCCTGACCTAACACCCCAACGGGCCCCACCCCAGCCAGGACGCGGAGGAAGAAGATGGGTGTTGCTGTGATTTTGGGGGGAGGGAGAAAGTTTGCTTTTACTATTAACCAATGGCGTTTCCCTTGATTCCCTGGGTCACCTGTCCAACTCCCTGATGTTGATTTAAGCACCTTGGTTGTCCAGCGCCAGCAGAAACTCTTGCACGGCTCTGATCGAGGCCACTTTTGCCCAGTTCCCACACTTGGCTCTTTAATAAGTTCCTAATTCATACTTTGTACACATTCAAATTACGGAGTAGGGGATTGAATGGGATTTATTGGACCAGGAACAACACACAACACCAATAATTATTTTCATTGTTGTAATGTACCCCGCGAATCACAGAAGGACGCCTCAAGAAGTCGAATTAGAGAGTCACGTTTATTGCAATCCGGGACTATGAGGGGTCATTCCCAAATCTCATAGTAACCATTTAGTCACAGTTCCAGGATTATATAGGCAAAAAATCACACAGGTATTGATTACATCTCAGGATTTGGAATGAGGCACCTGGCTCTCAAAAAAGCAGATTACAGAAGCAGAATTAAGCATGTTAATTACAGTTTCGGGTCTCGGGGTCACTGAATTGACAGAAATACATTATCTAGAGCCCTTGGGTAACCTGGGTTAAACTTAGGCATGTTATCTAAATTATAGTTTTGAGTCTCCGGATCACTGAGTTGATAGAAACACACTATCTAGAGCCCTCAGGTCTCCTGACCACTGAGTTGTCAGGACAGTTTAGAGTAATTGTGCTGTCTGTTATGCCAAAAAAAACAATTTAGGGTAATTGTGCTGTCCTGTTTCCCAGGTACAGAAGAATGTGCTTCGATAACCAGTAAGATCACAATTAATGGGCTAGTCATTCAATCAATAAGGCATTCAATCGAAAGGGATGATTTATACAATTCAGAAAATCAAAATAACCTGTCCATCGTTAAACAAAGCAAATAGGTACCATACTTCATCATCACAGCAGCTTTATTTAGTGGTCTGGGCCAGTGGTCAGCAAACTCATTAGTCAACAGAGCCAAATATCAAACAGTACGATTGAAATTTCTTTTGAGAGCCAACATTTTTAAACTTAAACTATCTAGGTAGGTACATTGTTAGGAACTTAATTAGGGTCCTCCTAAGCTGGCCTTTGCTACAAACGTCCTCACTCTGATGGAGGTACGTTCGCTGAGGTCGACCCCTTCCAACTCTCCCATCCTCAACTTCTGCATGAATCACGCGCACCTCCCCGCGCTGCCTATCCCAAGGCCAGCCTGCTCTGGGTCTCCCATCGCCCTACCGACAGACACTCTCCACTTCTTCCAACGCCACTTCTTCAAAATAGACTCACCCAGGCCGAAAACAGACTTCTGCTGCGCATGGGCCATGAAGTTTCAATCGCACTGTACGTGCGTGCCCGCACGTGGTATTTTGTGGAAGAGCCACACTCAAGGGGCCAAATAGCCGCATGTGGCTTGTGAGCCTCGGTTTGCCGACCACTGGCTATTTACATACATTAAATCATTTAAAACGTCAAACTTATGAATATTCCTACTTTACACATGCGGAAATGGAGCTGTAAAGACATGAAGTTAGGGCAAAGCCCACACAGAGACAGAGCCAGGTGTTAGATTCAGCCAGGCTCGTTTGAAAAGCCTGTTTTCCTTTATTAATCGTGTCATAATTACTATGACTGAAACCTTATTTAGTTCATTCAGATTTTCTTAGTGTAGTACTAATGAATGAGTATCTGTAGAAGTCCATACTTGTAGATAGTCTTTCATCTTGGACATCATGATATAATAACATCTAGAAACTTTGGTTCTGTTATTTTACAGTTATGGTGGTGTTTACAGGGTTATTGTGAGGAGCAAATGAAATAATTCATGTAAAGCAATCATTTTCAGACTTTTCTTACTGCTTCTCACCAGTAAGAAATACATTTTATATGGGATTATACACTATATATGTGTGTATATATACATATATATGTACTAGAGGCCCTGTGCATGAAAATTCGTGCACTGGGGGAGGGAAGGGGGCGTCCCTCAGCCCAGCCTGCACTCTCTCACAGTCGGGAGCCCTCAGGGGATGTCTGATGATGGCTTAGGCGAGGAGTGGGCCTAAGCCGTCAGTGGGACATCCTTAGTGCTGCCTCAGAGGCGGGAGAGGTTCCTGCCAGCTGTGAACCTGGCTTCTGGCTGAGCGGCGTTCCCCCTTGTGGGAGCGCACTGACCACCAGGGGGCAGCTCCTGTGTTGAGCATCTGCCCCCTGGTTGTCAGTGCACGTCATAGCGACCGGTCGTTCTGCCGTTCGGTCAATTTGCATATTAGCCTTTTATTATATAGGATATGTATATATTCTAAATGAAAAGTTTCATTAAAGAATATTCTACTAGAGTAAACCATTCTATTTTTATTGTGTTTTTGTATTGTGTTTTCTTAACCCTCTAGGTCATGACCAATAGTTTAAAAAATTATTTAATGCATATAGAACGCTGACTCATTTATTTAATTTTGTCAATCTTCACCTGAGGATATTTTTCCACTGATTTTTAGAGATCATGCAAGGGAAGGGGAGAGATGGAGAGAGAAACATTGATGTGAGAAAGACACATCAGTTGTTGCCTCCCGCACCCAGCCTGCAGGGCTGCAGATTGAACCTGCCACTGAGATACGTGCACATACC